TTATTTTCTAACAAATTCAGAAAATCAACTTTAAATTAAGACAAGGCAGTATTTCTAGAGGTGGGAAGAAGTTCAGAATTATGATTAAAAGAAAAGTTGTCAAAATGTGGGGTCAAATAAGTCTTTAATGTAAATATATTTGCAAAATGTAATAGAAGCTTTTTAGCATAAGGAAACCTGTCTTGTCTTATTGAATTCCTGAACAGTGTAGTGGATTCTAAATGGCAGCAGTGAGTGGTGTGTGATCTTGGGTTTGGTGACCAGCTCTGTCCTCTTCTGAAAGTGCTGTTGCTTTCCTTGTGGCACACTATCATTCTTTATTGGATCTCACACCCTTCCCCAAGATTCCTTTGCAGTCTTTGAATCTGGTAAGCCAGGCAGAGGAGACACTAAGGGACAGCACAGATTTAACATATGTTTCTTCCAGTCGTTGTTGCTAGAACCAAATCAGCATTACCTTCTCAAAGGTGTCATGCTTCAAATTTTTTTCAGTGTTCTTTAGAAGATGTAAAAAAAGTGTTAATATTCTTTTTTAACAAACCCACTCCACATTGTTAATGTAAGTACTTTAAAATTCCTAGCTTTCCTAATTATATATTTTTTTAAAGTTAAAAAGTTTTTTTGTTGATGTTGGAGTGTAAACTGTTGGGTCCCCCAATAATGGGTCCATGGTCAAAGGAGCGAGACTGATACAAAGCGAAGGTCAAGCAAAGCTTTATTTTGCACCAAGCATCAAGAATCAAACTGACCAGCCAGCGACGTCCCTTGCAAAGAGGCGACCCCTCCCTGCCTTACAGACTAACTTTTATAGAACAAAGGCCATGCGGTTGGGCCTGGCCATACACAGGTGGCCAATGAGATTGTAACACACAGAGAAAGCTGCACAGTCATGCTGGGTCACACACAGGTGGCCAATTGAATTACAATTCACCCCATAGTAGCTATTTGAACTAGCCATCACTTTGGTCAGAATTGGCGCCCAAAAGGCAGGGCCTGCGCTCCTTGGTAGCTAGGGAGACAGTATGTGCGCCCCACTGATTGGATGTCTCTACCTGGCCCGACTCATCCCTGCATTCTCTGCATTCTGGCTGTTATCTCTATCTGACCTGACCCACCCTTGTATTTGGGCTTTGTTACCTGGGACTGGTTTCCCGGACTTGCTTTTAAGTAAGTTGGCGGGGGGGAGACAGGGTCAGTTTAGGTTTTACTGCATAAACAACAAAATGGCTGTTCAACCGAGGTGGGGCCGCTCTGGCTAAATAACCGCTTACATAAACCACTCACTTTGTTTTGATATTAATTATTAGCTTAGGACATAAACTTACAAATAATTAGACAGTTGCATATCCCCGATTAGCACAGAATTCTGACAGACGGGTTTTGCCTGCTCTATTTTGGGCTGTGTGTGCCTTGTTGAGGACCATTTGGGGCCCGCTCATATTGAGATGGACCCAAGGTGACATCTGCTGGTAACTAGCTAGAAACAATTAACACCTTATAATGTACGACCTGCTCACGGATTTCTAGTAATTTTGTTTTTTAATTTTCCTTTCAGGCTTACTGCACAATCAGGATAATGCAGCCTTAGAGGGGGTTTCCATTTGTGTAGAAGTTTTGTATTTGAGATTACTCTGACCTCTGTCATCTAATTTGATCTTCACAAAAACAGGGTGAGATGAGTCTCCATTGAAATAGGCTTCATCAGATACACAGATAAACTACCACTGAGGAGACTAAGGGACTTGCCCGAGATCTTAAGAGGCCAGAGCTCATACTTCCATTTCTCTTCCCATCAGAACATTCCCCCGTCTCCACAAAGCCTCAGAAGCACCACTGTCTTGGGACCCCCCATGCATATGTTTTTGATATCTACATACGTCTTAAGAAAAGCATGGTCGGGACCAGTAATAACCTGCTAGGTGAATAGAGAAGGGGTTTGCTGAATTTACTATTTGTGCAACTTATAGTAAGACACAATATATAAACACCCACTAGAATGTATTCTAAAAGCACTTACAGAGTAAATGTTTAACATGTATAACGATGCTTTCTTATTTTTGAAACCCTGGTTCAATTATTTTTATGTGGCTACTGTGGCTTTGGATGCTTGCACTAGTAATTTAAAAATAGGACAAGGATTTAGATAAAAGTAAATGGGCTGTGTAGGATTAGTCCTAGGTCACTTTACCGGCAATTATGAAAGATTTTTAGCATTTTAACTACTCCCTGTTATAAAGGGTAACACACAAAAAAGCCATTATAAAATCTTTAACTTCAAAATGCACTGACCTAACTTTATGAAATATTTACATATATACATATATATATATATATATATACACACATTCATTTTATGATTTATCATCACTTGGTACGTGTGTTACTTTCTTTTTTGTGTGAGCCACATCTACTTAATAGAGTACTTTCATTAAATAATTCTGTGTTAAGGAGCCATTTTTAATAAAATCTAATTTAACTAATTTCTTTCTTCCTTTTTTTTTTTTTTTTTTACCCCCAGCTTTACTGGAGTAAAGCTAACAAAACTGTAAGATATTTAAAGCCTACCTCGTGATGATTTGATATATGTATGTATTGTGAAAGATTCCCTCCACCAAGTTAATTAACACATCCATTATTTATTATTTATTTATCTTTTTTCTTTTTTTGAGAAAACACTTAAGTTCTACTCTCAGCAAATTTCAGTTATACCACAGTATATAGTCACCATGTTATTCATTAGATCCTCGAACCTTATTCATTTTATGTAATTACATTTATTTTAGAGTCAGTTTCTGAAGCTACAGTTTATAAGTTAACCATTCTCAGAACTTTTTATCTGTAAACAAACATGAATTGGCTTCCTGGTGTATGCGGTTCACTGTGCTTGGCTCGGTGTAGATGGGAGGACAGGCAGTGTGGTTGTTACGGGATTCGGGTCCTTGGACCCAGCAACAGTAGAAATGAGACCGGACCCAGTGTTTAAAAGCACAGGCAGATCAAAAGAAATCAAATCTTGCTATTTGCGACGACGTGGATGGAACTAGAGGGTATTATGCTTAGCGAAGTAAGTCAGTCGGAGAAAGACAACTATCATATGATCTCTCTGATTATGAGGATGTGGAGATGCAATGTGGGGGGTTTGGGGGGTAGGAAAAGAATAAATGAAACAAGATGGGATCGGGAGGGAGACAAACCATAAGAGACTCTTTTTTTTTTTTTTTTTAAAGATTTTATTTATTTATTTGACAGACAAAGATCACAAGCAGGCAGAGAAGCAGTCAGAGAGAGAGACGGAAGCAGGCTCCCCGCCAAGCAGAGAGCCCAGTGTGGGGCTGGTCCTGGGATCATGACCTGAACTGAAGGCAGAGGCTTTAACCCACTTGAGCCACCCAGGTGGCCCCCATAAGAGACTCTTAATCTCACAAAACAAACTGAGGGTTGCCAGGGGAGGGTGGTAGGGAGAGGGAGGTGGGGTTATGGACATTGGGGAGCGTATGTGCTATGGTGATGCTGTGAAGTGTGTAAACCTGGCGATTCACACACCTGTACCCCTGGGGCTAATAATACATTGTATGTTTATAAAAATAATAAATAAAAGCACCGGCAGCTGCAGCTGAAGGGACACACAGTCAGTACAAAGGTGTCAGACTGACTCCCTGAACAACAGCTTGAAAGGACACCATTTAAAGTGTGTAGGGCGGGAAATCCTGGGAATGGGGAACTCAGGCCCAGTGGACAGACAATGCTGCTTCAAACAGCTAATGTTTCATTTGCATGTTAAGTCTCCACCTCCTGGGTGTGATTTTTAGCATTGCAATGAGGTAAAGGTAACTGCTGGTCGCACCATTGTCCATCTTGGTGGGGGGGGCTGACTTAGTGATTAAACTTTAACTGGTCTGGGTGGTTTGGGTTTGGGTGGCTCTTCTGGCAAACATCCATTATTGCTTGAGGGGCAGTCTTGGTTTCCTTCAGGGGATGCTGTGCTCCCTGGGGCTTTTGCCTGATTAAGAGATAAGCTGGAAAGAAGTACTTAAGGAGGAAGTGGGACAGAGGATGGTGGGTCCAAGCAGGTGAGCAGCAGTAGGTGAGATCTTGGTCTAGCTGGTGACAGAACTTTTGCTTGTTATTGGAATTTTACTTGAATTTACAAAATGTTCAGCGCACATTCCCATCAAAATTATAAATTCATAGCTTTTTAAAAATTTTTAAATTTGAGTATAATTAACACACAATGTTGCATTACTTCCAGGTGTACAACATAGTGATTCAGCTTCTCTATACCTTTGTCATGCTGTGCTCAGCACAACTGTAGCTCCCATCTATCACCATACAGTGAATTACAGAACTATTCTAAGAAGCTGTTTTCTGATCCACTTTAAGTTTTCAAATTGTGTTATTTACATTATTCCTAAATGTAGGTACCTCTGATTTTGAAGTTTCCTGCAAATATAAATAGCCCCAAATCCCAAAGAATACTTTTTTTTAAAAATTCAATTTTATTCCTGATGTCTATTCAATGTCTGTATTTCTGTCAGAAAAAGCAGTCGATAAATGAAGAAAGGGAAGAATGATGATTTTTTTCCCCCTCTAGGGTATCAATCTGGTGTTGACAGAGCCAGATTAGAAGAAAAAAAAAATCATTCTTTTCTATAATTGTTAGTCATGCTTCCATTGTTCAGAAAGTCAAAACTTGCTCTCACTTCTGATAGAAAAGGAAAAATCAGAGACTAGGAAGAAGGAAATGAGTTCACCTTAGTGTAAATTTAAATATATTTCCCTCTTCCGGGGCGCTTGAGTGGCTCAGTGGGTTAAACCTCTGCCTTCAGCTCAGGTCATGATCTCAGGGTCCTGGGATTGAGCCCCGCGTTGGTGGGGGGGGGGGTCTCTGCTCAGTGGGAAGCCTGCTCCCCCCCCACCGCCTGCCTCTCTGCCTACTTATGATCTCTGTCAAATAAATAATTTAAAAAATAAATAAAATAAATATATTTCTGTCTTCCTAGGAGAGAGCTATGTGTGTGGGTCAATAGAGCCCTTTAAGAAACTGGAGTACACCAAGAACGTGAATCCCAACTGGTCTGTGAATGTCAAGACCACCTCGGCTTCCCGGGCAGTGTCCTCACTGGCCACTGCCAAGGGGAGCCCATCAGAGGTGCGGGAGAATAAGGATTTCATCCGGCCTAAGCTGGTCACCATCATCCGAAGTGGGGTGAAGCCACGGAAGGCTGTCAGGATTCTGCTGAACAAGAAAACTGCTCATTCCTTTGAGCAGGTTCTCACTGACATCACCGATGCCATCAAGCTGGACTCGGGAGTGGTGAAACGCCTGTACACCCTGGACGGGAAACAGGTAAGAGGGGTGTCGTGGGATGACTTCGACTTTACAGGAAAGAACCAGGTTGTTGGGGGATCTGTGTGGCACGGGGTGTCGGATGGGGGAGGGAATGTGAAACATGCATTTTGCTGAAGTTGAGGAAGTTGGCTCACGTGTTAAAAAATACATAGCTGTTGATCTCCATCCAGACCAAGGGTAGAGGTAGACAGGATTAACCATAGGAATAAAGCGAAATACCTATCTCTGAAGCTTAAATGATTACTCACAGACTTCTGTTTTTTCAGTTATTAATTACTTAACATAAAGGTGCTTTTTTGTCTTCTGTTTTCAATTTTTTTCAGGTAGTAATGTATTATAGCCTTAAGCATGACTGAGACATAACCTCTGACCATTAGAGAAAAATCTAATTTCCTTTCTTTGGTTTAAATAATACTTTATGTCTCAGTAATGTTCACTAGAGAGATTTAAATTTTATGGATTTTACATTACATATCAAAAGGATGAAATATTTCCATCTGAACAGCTTTAAGAGGCATATTTCTAGAATATTATACATCTTGTACAGAAAACATAGTTTCAGAATTAATAGCGAAGGGGTGTGTTTCTTTAGCTATGGAATGGTCATTGGTTGACTTGGATGAGAGGGCATTTAAATGTGAGTTGCTCAGGTGAACTTAAAGGGAAGTCTTGTGTGGACTTTTATAAAGGTTTGACAGAACCCTGATAGTGGGGGGGGTGTGTATCTATATATATATGATATATAGATATATGTATAGATATGTAGATATCACTGATACTTACTGATATATGTAGAGTGCAAGTTGCTGGTCTTTCAGAGTTTATGTGTCTTTTTGTTTAAGATGATAATTTTTAGCGTACTATCTTTGCTCGAAATTTAGTTTTCAATGTACATCTGCCCGCATGGTTTTTAAAAATTATTTTGAGGGATAATTTGTATGTAGAGTACATATTAAAAATCAATACTAGATTCATAAATTAGAAGGTTAATCTTTAAAAAATAAAGGATTAATCTTTATTAAATAGAAGACAAGTTCTTGAAGGCTAACAAGCATTCAAATTTTATGAATTAGAAATAGATGCAATTACTAGAAAGAGTGTTAGTCATGAAAGAATTCCTCCCCTAGGGAGCCATTCAAATGCTCTAAATTACAAAATTCATTAGGAAAGAAGGAATATCTGCCAGTTGTTCATTTATATTCACCAGTCTTCTGCTCGTCTCATAAAACTTGTCTAAGTGTCACGTAAAGAATTCTGAGGGTTGAAATTCTCAGTCTTCTAGATCTAAGCGGGCGTAGCCTGAATGTCATTGATCAAAAAGTCCATTGCTAGCTTGTGAATTACAGCAACATAAGAGAGCAAGGCTCACATTTAAACATTTGAGCCCGTTGGTGGTTCCTTTTGTAACAAGTCACTCAACCATCTTGTAGTTCTGCATTTTTGTATATTGGAGTTTCTCAAGATGACAGCTTACCTATTTTCACAAAAAGTAAAATACACAACAATGAATACAAATTGATACCTTCCTCTTCTCCCCTCGCTTCAGAATTTTGGGGGTTCCAAAGTACTACACACTGAACCTAAAAACAAGCTTTAGCTACATTAGCTAAGTTCTACCATCAGCTCATCATTTGTTTATTCCAAGAATGAATTCCTAAACTAGGTACGATGATGTTCTCAATGTTTTCTTCTTTTTAGGAGTTTAATCTAGTGTCTGTATTTTATAATAGCTGCTTTTGCTGTTGTTTACATGTAAATAATACAATGTAATGGAAAAGAATCTAAGGTTTAATGCCAAAAGACCACAATTCAAATCTTGGTTTGGCCAGATTATTTATGTTTTCAGCAAATCACTTCACTGAGCCTCGTACTTATCAATAAAATATAGATAAAATGATCACTTCTGTTTCATAGAGTGCTTGTGGGGACAACTATAATAATACATGTGAAAGCAATTTTGAACTATAATAATAATGATCATAGCTTTATTTGCATTATTCTAAATGTTTTGCATGTATTAACATGTTTAATCCTCATAACAGTTGATTCCAATCCCCATTTAACAGAGGAGGATGCCAAGGCACAGAACTTGTTATTAAAAAAAAAAAAAAAAAATGTCCAAGACCACACAGTTGTAAATGGCAGAATTGGAATTTGAACCTGTCTCTCTCCAGAGATTATGCTCTTAACCACTGTACCATAGAAGATTATATTAAAACACTAAAGAGGTGTGCATGTAATGTACATGTACTGAGAAAGAATTTTCAAGTGAGTAATTTGTCCAGGGACTATCATCTGAAAGTTTTCTGCTTTGTATTATTTTCCTGTGGTCATTCTGCTGATGGTTTTATTCAGAAGGGTGTGTGTGTGTGTGTGTGTGTGTGTGTGTGTGTGTGTGTAGCATTCGATTTGCTGTTGTGGCATGTTCTTTTCATAGCAGGAGTGGTGAAAAGCTGCAGAGGAATTGGAAGATAGAGTGGAAAGAATATAAAGACTTTTTGCTTGGGTTCCCAGTAGGAGCAAAGATGCTTCCGGAGTCCCGGAAGTCTTTAGAATCATTTCTACTCATAAGGGAAATCCGCCCCCATGAGAGGTTTGTTAGAGTAGAGTGCTTTGACAGCCTTGGCAGAGACCAGGGCTTGATAGGCCTCTGAGAATGAGCCACTTTCCTCCCAGCCAGGTGGACTGGCAGCCCTTGCCTCTGCCATTTCACCTTGCCCATGGTCTGTGTGCTGTCAGCAGGATGTTATCCTTAAGATCACTCCTCTCACCTCTTTTTTGTTTGGATTGTGTAACAACTCTTGTATCAACTCCAAAAGCGCTATGGGAAATCCAGTGCCCAGTAAAGCTTTTAAAGGTAATTTTCTTTTTTGTATTGAGGAAATAGAACTGCTTAAAAATTAATAGGTTGAGTGCGTTGAATAAATGTGTAGAGAGCAAGTGATGTATGGGGCAGGGATGGCTTTTCAGATCGCCTTCAGGCAGCTTGCGGATGTATCTGTGGGATGCAGACTCATGACTCTGGGCTCTTTGACAACAGAACAGTGACAAATGAACAGTGAGAGCACGTGCCTGCTGTTGCATCAGCCACCCTGGGATGGGCGCTGGAAGGTGGAGACCACAGGCCCTTCTCATGTGTTCCTCCTACCACTTGACTTCCTTGCTCAGTTGCCTTTGGGTGTGCTTTAGGCCTTAACCAAGAGTTCATTATACAGTGCTTTTGTTGTTGTTGTTGTGTTGAGGTTTTTAGGCCCAGATAAGGAAATCAACACACTGGAAAACTGCACGGTGTAGAGAACATTTTGTAGGAAGCTGCAGTTTCCCCAGCTGACCGTTGAGGCTCATAAGCAGCCTGCTGGTGCGCAGACCCTTTCTTAATCATTTCAAGTCCGTCCTTTATTCAGGGGCACTGAAGCTTCAGTAAATGGTTGCTGCAAACTTGCCTCCTCCTCCTCCTCCTCCTCCTCACATCTTTCAGGAGGCCTCTGCTCACCCTGTGATCAGGCACTTTTGCCAGCACGGCTGGGAGGTCAAGGAAATGCTTGCCTCGTCTTCATTTCAGTGATGCATTATTTATCTGGGCCTCAATCAAGGGCCCCCAAAGAAGGAAAAGAGGCCATTTTCTAGCTGACGGTTCTAATCACATTCCTTTTCTCCATATTCGAAGGGAGCTTTTGCAGGGTATGAGAATCTTTTCCTCTTGCCTCAGTCCAGGCACTGGAAGGTGGGAATTTTCTGTGGGTTATTCACAAACCCGGCCAAGCAGCTACTCCCAGAGGTCGTTTAGGGTATGACTATTTAGTGATTGAAATCAACCCAAAAGGTACAAAATTTGCTACAAAAGATACAGTCATATATCTCCTGACTCCTTTTTTGGAACAGCTGATCTGGCTGTCTTGAGCTGTTCAGTCTTCTAAATCTGTGATTACTGGATCCTTGCTTAGAAATATAAACAGTGGTAAGCAAGTCTTAGAATAGCCAGTGCCGAAGCAGGTAATTTATACCGTCAAAATCACAGATAAGGCACTGCCCAATGACCGCCCCTTCCGCACTGAAATAGAGCAATGATAAATTGAGTTGCTCTTTAAGTAGAAAAGGTATGCACACGCCCATGCTGTCTACCCTCGGTATTGCAGATCTATATAAAACAGCAGCATCCGTTAGTAGCCCAGGAGAAATGAGATGTTACATTTTTATCTTACAGACATGTCACGTAGGTTGTGCACTTTGTAAAATCCCCCGTTGCTAGCGTGCTGGAGTGAGCAAGCGGCTTGTTGTCTTCCTAATAGAGAACACAGGGGGAGTCACTGAGCTGGAGTGAAGGTACTCATAAACTGGTTTAGACTGGTAAACTGTGAGAACAGACATCATCACTGTCTTAACTCTGCATGGCTGTAGCGAAGTAGCACAGATTAGGGGCTTATCTACAACAAAAGTGTATTTCTCACCGTTCTGGAGGCTGGAGTCCAATGTCAAGGTGCCAGCAGACCTGGTCTGGTGAGAACCCACTTCCTGGTTCATACAAAGTGCCTTTTGCAGTGTCTTCACAGGGCCGGAGGGGTGAAGGTACCCTTGGCCCTCTTTTGAGAGGGTACCAATCCCATACTTGAGAGCTTTGCCCACATGTCCTAATCACCTCCCCAAGGCCCCACCTCTTAACACTATCCCCTAATGGGTTAGATCTCATTTTATGGATTCCGGGGGGACACAAGCTTTCAGACTCTAGTGCTGTGTAAAAGAAGTCCCAGTGGCTGTCAGTAAGTTAATCAGTTACTACACTGTCTTCTCTGTGTCTTTTGATCCTTGAATCCCCTTGTCTATTACCAACAGAAAGCTGGAAAGATGCTTATAAAGGAGTCATAATAATTGCAGCCATTTATTTTCAGTAATTGGTATATGAGCTTATTGGAATTCGGGAAATGGTAATCTGGTCAATAGGAATCTATCAATCAGATATCACAAGGTATTCTTTGATTTTTTTCCTTTTTTTAAGATTT